GCCGAAGGTTGTATGTCGTGGTCATCGCCAGATCCGGTCACAGTCGTCGCCAAAGAGGAGAGTGGCCGCTGGAGAGGAGGGAGGAGCGGCCAGGGTAGATAGGCACATGAGGAAGAGGAATGAGGTGCGAGCGGTACATGGAAAATCAGTTGGATTTCTCCCAACGCTCGCCTGAGGCTGCTTTTGATTTTACGTGAAAATGACATGGGGTGAAGAAGTGTAGGGAAAGAAGGCCGGATCCGCAGCGCTACGTTTGGGGGCCTTTGGTCGATTTTTTTCACCGAAACCGTAAGCGCCTGACAGGACCATAGAATCAGACACAGACGAGTCGCGTTGTACCGATGTAGCGATAGGCTTCGTCGGTGGGTAGGGGCGGCTGGTAGACGAGTCACAGCAACGGTGAAGAGAGAGCAACGAAGAGACTTTTAGTTTAACAACCATTTTTATCCATTGATAACTCCGATGTGTGCTCTCTCATGCTCCACCAAAGCTATCCAGTGTCCACGGAAAGCCTATAGCAAGGTCCAAACAGCTCCAATCCCTCGCTACCTCCTTCCTTCCTTCCGGACGGATATATATATAACGCTCCAATTAAGACATCCGGACGGATGGACGCCTCACTCTGCTCACTCCCGCACCCAATCCCTCGCTACCTCCTTCCTTCCGCGCTCGCGCCTCGCTCCACCCCAATGAGATCCATGGAACACGAGCATGCCTCCCTGGCCGACGGCGGCGCCCTCACCCACCCCGGCATGCGCCCTCCCCCACTCCAGCATCCTCCTCCCCCACCCTAGCAGCGCCCCTCCTCCACCCCGGCATCCTCACCCATCGGGAGGGCCCAATACCCGTGGATCCGGTGGCCCTCTCCCCCACCCCGGCGAGATCCATGGAACACGAGGGAGATCAATGGAGGTGGCACGACGGTGTTGTAGGGGAGTAGGCGGCTCTCCCCCACCCCCAGCGGCGCCTTCTCTCACCCCAACGATGGAGCTCCCCCACCTCGGTGGCGCTGAGCCAAGCTCGGTATTGGTGGTGCTCATGTGCAGCCGCTCGCCGCCATCTCCGACCCTGACGACTGGAATCGACCGACCCAACCTTCCATTTCCATATGTTGCATATGTATGTTTCAAGGGTTTCAGGCGTTTCAGATGTATGTTGCAATTTTTTCATAAGGATGTTGCAGAAGTAGATCGGGGGATGTTGCATATGTTGCAATTGTTTCAGAGGCATGTTGCAAGCATATGTTTCGAGTGTTTCAGATGAATGTTTCATCTGTGTGTTTTCGGACGCATGTTGCAAGTGTGTTTATCTGGATATTGCATATGTTTCACACATACGTTGCATGTGTTTTATTTGGATGTTGTATATGGTTGCAATGGTTTTCAAGTGTTTTTAAGGTATTTTTTCAAGTGTTTAAGAGTCATGTTTCAAGTGTTTTAACTGCCTTCTAACATATGTTGTAACTGTTGTTGTCGGTGTTTCGAGTAAACACCAACGAGTAAATTTCTAATATTACGCGTCTGGCTTGGACACTAGTAGAGAAACGACTTTTGATCCCGCCTCAAAATTTGGCATCAGTCCCGGTATTTTTCGCGCCCGGGACTAGGGGACCTTTAGTCCCGGTTTGTAGCTCCAACCGGGACTAAAGGTCCCTGCCCAACGGCTACTGCGGCAGGCTTTTGCTGCAGGAGACCTTTAGTCCCGGTTGGAGCTACTAACCGGGACTAAAGGTTAACTTTTACTCCCGGTTGGTTCCTCCAACCGGGAGTAAAAGTCTACTTCTGGCTGGAGGCTTCGTCCGAGATTAGAAAGAAACCTTTAGTCCCGATTGCTGTCTCCAACCAGAACTAAAGCTGATCGAGCAGGTGAGGCATCAACAGAGATAAAGCTAATGGAGGACTATTGCAGCCGGGACTAATGGAGCGACGCAAGTACAAGCAGCGGTGCTAACTAAATAGAATAAGAAGAGGGAGGAGAGAGATTGACACACATGCTGAACCAGCACATGCACGGAACCGGTTCTAGCTTTTGCTTTTTCATTTTTTTCTATTTTCTCTGTGGGCCCCACGACTGGTGTCAAAACAGTGATCCATGCCAACTTCTCTCACGTGGACCTTCAACAGTTTTGGGCATCACTCTCCATTGTGGAGGGCAGCTACTAGAATAATGATTGAATACACTGACAGGGTGCACACAAAATATTGAGTCTGTTAGATGCAACTGAACATGACCAAAGACCAAATCAAATAGTCCTGGCTGGTATTACGAGCTGGGACTAAAGGTAATATCTTTAGTCCCGGCTAGTATTATTAGCCGGGACTTTTAGTCCCGGGCGTTTACAGGAGCCGGGACTAAAGGTCTCCAACCGATTGAGCTCTGTCGATGGGCCGGCTCGACTTGAAGCCCACACATAGGAGAGAGCATATACCAGAATGGAGCTGGTCAGTCCCACCTATTAGCACCACATTGCTTGCTCAGAAGAGTGAAAGCTAACTTAAAAGCTCAGCTCTAGAGCCATGCACCACGATCTTACTTGAACAGGATCTGTTCTATAGGATCGTACCGCTGCATCCTTGGTTTGCACAAAATATTCAAACATTATAAACGTGTAGAATAATGCGTATTCGAAAACCAAAATGAATCATCAATTGAAAATAGAAACAAAAAAAAAGAAAAGAAAAAAATTAAAAGTCCTGCTAGCAGCGTAGAATGCGAACGAATCATCAATTGAAAATAGAAAAAAAAGAAGAAAAAGAAAATAGAAACAAAAAAAAGAAAACCTTTAGTCCCGGTTGGTAATACCAACCGGGACTAAAGGGCCGGCCCAAGTGGCCAGGCCGGGAGGCCTCTTTAACCCCGGTTGGTATTACCAATACCAACCGGGACTAAAGGTGGACCTTTAGTCCCAGATTCGTGCTCCCGGTTCCAAAATCAAGACTGAAGGGGGTTGAGAACCGGGAGTACAGCTCGTTTCTCTACTAGCGGGATGGTGTGCTAAGAGGACACAAGGTTTATACTGCTTCGAGCAGAATGTCCCTACGTTCAGTTCGTTGCTACTGCTCGTGTTACTAGCACTGAAAGTTCGTAGTAGGGGTTACAAACGGTCGAGAGAGGGACATGTCCCAAGTCTCTGGTGGAAAGAACGAATGAATGCCGAGAGCTCGGTCACTGCTCGGCTATGTGTTCGAGGTTTGATGCTAGTGGTTCTTATCTGATGCGGTGCGATGCCGTGCGATCTCGTGTCCCTTAAGGGGACGCCCTGCTTTCCCTTTTATAGGCCAAGGGAAAGCACGGGTTACAACGGGAGAAAAGAGGAGAACGAGAGGGAGAGGAAGTCCTTCAGGGTCGCCAGGCCTTTCTTTTTTCCTTGTGCGGGCCCCACTGACACGGCAGGTGATGACAGGGATAGCTCCACGCCAGGCGCCTGTCCGCCGATGATGCCATGCCCTGGCATTTTTGGTGGTCGTAATGTCCCCTCTCGCCTCGGGGCGCATGAGAACCGGCTGCGTCTTGATTTAGCGGCCGTCTGAGGAGTATGCAAAGATAGTGACCACACGTCCGTCACTGTGGGCGATGTGAGTTCCCTGGAATGACATGTCGCGGGGACGGGTCGTGTTGAGACATGACCGCTCCCTGCACGATGCCAGATGTTTGACCTTGGGTTGTACTTTCTGGCCTGTAGTGGTTGGCGGTGGCGTGAGCTTCCGTTAGAACCGTGCCCGAGGGATCGGGCGAGGCGGAGCCCACCCTTAGACGTCGTGCGAGGCAGAGCCCGCCCTCAGACGTCGGGCGAGACAGAGCCCGTTGTCTCGGTGTAGGGCGAGGCGGAGCCCGTCCCCAGAGGTCGGGCGAGGTGAATCGCATGACCTTGGGGTTGTGCGAGGCAGAGCCCGCCCTTAGAGGTCAGGCAAGGCGGAGCCTACGACCTCGGTGTCGGACGAGGCGGAGCCAGCCCCCAGACGTCGGGCGAGTCGGAGCCCGCCCTCTGGGGTCGGGCGAGGCGGAGCCCGTCCCCAGAGGTCGGGTGAGGCGGATCGCACGACCTTGGGGTTGGGCGAGGCGGAGCCCGCCCTTAGATGTCGGGCGAGGCGCAGTCGATGGCCTCGGTGTCGGACGAGGCGGAGCCCGCCCCTAGGGGTCGGGAGAGGCGGAGTCTGCGGCCAGAGGTCGGGCGAGGCGGAGCCCACGGCCTTGGTGTCGGTTGGAGCTGTAGTCGCACCTTTGACTGCCTAGATGAATTAACGTATAACGACCATTAACCCCTCCTCTTCGGGTACCCTAGTATTGGTCCCCGACAGTTGTATTTGAATGTATTTCAAAAGTAGATCGGGTGTTGCATCTCTCCTCCCTACCTTCTGCTACGTCATCTCGGTGTGTCCTCCTCCCGGCACCAACAGGGCATCCATATGACGCTGCGGCCGGGTCCTTCCAAATCGGAGACGCCGCACCCCTCCCCCTCTAGTCGCTCGGGTGGAGCGCGTGAAACGAAGTGCAACGCGCGGGTGTCCGTCCCGAGCGCTAGCAATACCATACACACACACACATATATATATATATATATATATATATATATATATATATATATATATATATATATATATATACACACACACACACACTAACCGATCATGGCCACTCTCTTGGCCAAACAGAGGAGGGATAAAACAAAATAGATCGTGGATGGATGGATTAGATTTGTCTAACTTTAACCCTTTGCTGTGATAAAAGAGTCTCATGAGCCACATATAGACCTCATACACTTTAACAGATCCAAAATGCAATTTACTCCTTCAAGGAACAGTACTGAAAACACAATGGGTAACAATTAATTATCTTTTTTCGTACTGTGTTATCCAACTTTCTCTGCATTTCCTTTCTGTGAACACAAAACTGCATTGACATACAGACAACTAGACTCTGACACACACATGCATGCATGCCTTCTTGGGAGTTAGGACTTTGGATTTAGGAAGGTGCCGGCAGCTCTGACAATTCACCCATCAGTCCCGCGACCCGGATTGGAAGATGAGGAAGGCCGTGAGGACGCCGACCACGGCGGTGAGCGCCAGCGCCACCGTCGGCAGCGGCGCGGTCAATCCCACATTCTGCGGCAACCAAAATTTAGCCCGTTAACCAACCATGAGAAAGGCAGACAATGCCACGGATCGACTTTGTCTGTCATCAGAAACAAGCAAGAAAGACGACCCACACCTGAAGCACGCATTTGCCGGTGGTCAGCTCCACGGTCACCGCCCCGACGAAGCCCAGCATCGCGCCGCGGCTCAGCCAGACGTCTAGCCCGCCACCGCCGCCGCCGCCCTTGGCTCCCTGCTCACACCTCACGCTCAGCGACCTCACGCAGTTCCCTTTCCCTACAGGGAGAAGCCGCGAACAAACAAGCGTTGAGGAGAGGAGGGGATGAGTCTGGAGGCCGGAGAGGAGACGGGAGACAGCAAGCTTCTGGATTCTTATCCGTGGTGGCGCGCCGTGCTTTATCGTCTGCCGTCCAATGGCTTTTGGATCTCGTGCTGCGTCTGACACGTGCACAAGGCCTGTTGACCGCTTTTCTTCACTCCTCTTGTAGACTTCAATCAATTTCTCGGCATCTTTTTTTTTTTGCGATTAAATTTCTCGGCATCAATCACGTCACCTACACTTGTCCTGGAGCCCCACGGGCCTCGGCCAGTTGCTCGACTTTATCTGAAACCACTCAGATTAGCTCGAGGACGGATCGAACGTGTAACTTTCGTAGCAAATCCTTCAGAAACTTTATACAATGGGGCCAGATCAGCATAGGTTAGTGATTCATCAGAGTCAAGAGCTGCTGAAATCGTACTGAAGCAATTGAACAGTATCTCAATTTGTGTGCATATGGACAGAAAGTATTACATACCAATTGCAAGCCGCCGTCCTGAGACTGAGAAACATTCAGGGAAATGATTTAGTTGATGGAATGCAGCTTATACCTGTTTATATATCCTGCATCTGCATTGCAATTCTTCCTATCCTCTTTAGGGCTTGTTCGTTTTGGCCCGGAACGGCCCGGATCGCGGCCTGATCCGCCCGGATCGAAGCCAGGCCGGATCAATAATGGCCGTTCGGTTAGATACGGCCTGGAATGCAAACCGGTCAATCCGGGCCTTTTCCCCCCTCTTTGGCCCGGAACGGAGACGGACCCTCCTACGAGCGGAACCTATCCTGGCGACGGCGCGGCACGCGACTCGCGATTCGCGACGGTGCGGCACGAGGTGACGGCGCGGGGCATCGCGAGGGGACGCAACGGTGTGGCACGAGGCGACGGTGACTGCTTCCCATCGAACGTCCGTGCTCTCTGCCGCCTTCTCGCTGGTAACGCATCACCCTCGTCTTCTTTGCCCCATTCTCTCCCCGGCGCTAGAGTTCTTGCTAGGGTTCTCGTCGGCACTAGGGTTCTTGCTTTCCTGCGCTCTATCCGTCCCTAGGTGAATGAATGGCTTGCTCGCCCCGTCGGTCTGGTCTTGCCAAGAAAGGCGCCACTCTTTGCCCCCAGCGACCAAACTGCTTGTCGGTCTCTTTGGTTAGATGCATACTTAAAGCTGGATCAGAAAAAGGAAGAACGAGAGATATGCATGCTTTTCGTTCGTTTGTTTTGGGCAGATGGACTCCTTTGCGGTGCATCTGGGCCTGCACGTTTGTAAAATACTGGAGTCTGGATTATCACAGGAGTGATTTACCTGGTCGGAGGATTGCTGTTTCACTGGGACATGATCATTGAAAAATATTTAATTCTTCTATATCAGAATCAAAGAAGATGAGAAAACTTTGTAGGTGACTATAGTTTGGTATGTGGTGGTAAATAATAACTAGTTGCAAGGCATGGAGCTCATACTCCTGCAGCTTGGAAATGTATCGTGTCACGGACATTATAACATCCATGTCTTCTTTTGAAAAAAAAAAATCTGAAGGTCCGTAGATCTTACCTTGTAGTGTACAGGGTAGCTTCTCACTACTTGTTCTCAGTGATTTTTCATGGTTAGCTACCTTCTCTCCTTCAGCTGCTGCTGGCATTATTGTCTAAAACCTTTTGTGTCAGTATATTCAGAACTGATCTGCAAGAAATGCTATTTTCTTTTTATTGGCAAGCTTATATCCACTATCTGCATGTTTAATTTTGGAACTGACTCGTGGTTCTGCGGTTTGGATTAATACTTCAGTGAATCATGATTTTGCGATTTGGATTTATATTTTAGTAGATGCCCCTTTGTATTCATTGTCTCTTATAGTCAGTTGAAGTATTATCTTATTAGCATTGTCTTGATCCAGAAGTCATCTTCGTTAGCATTCTGGAAGCCCTTACTTTTTGTTCTGATTCAATTACTTTTGTTTCAATGACCAGGAATAAAAGCTTTTTAACTGACTAAAATGTATAACGTGTGTTACCATGTATCAGTTCTGATTTCTGAAACTACTAATCAGAAGAACTGTTAATTTGGATATATTAAGTAGTCTGTATACGTGTGTTAATTTGGATATATCAGAGTTTGTATGTATTGCATGCATAGGAATAGGATCGATATACAGCCTTGTCTTGTTATCGGCTATATATACTAGTTGTTGGGTTGGGTGGCCGTGTACGTATATTGTCAGTGTCATTGGCAAGGGTGCCTACCTTTAATTTGTGTGGGGTAATCTATTTTATGCATAGAGCAGGAGCAATCTGTTCATATCCTAGCTAGATATGACAGCCCTGAACCTCTTGATTAAGACCCGTTGGATGCGTGCAAAGTTGATTAATGCACGAGCAATTTGTTCAGGGTTCAGTTTCACCAGATGGTTTTTTGTTACTTGTATTATTATCTAGATGATATTTCTTATTTTTATCAAACTAATAGTTTGTTTGCACCCCCTCTCACCTCTTTCCATTGGTCGGCGATTGCTATATCATAATGTCCAACATTTCCGTTTCAGGTTTTGGAGAACCTAAGGATACTGAGGTAGTACAAGGTGCCCAGAACGTTTGTGTTTCTATCAAGTTGCTGCGTAGAACCCTTGCATTTTAAACATTCAGAGATCTAATAGAAGATTTGTGCTAGATGTGATATTGTAGAAACAAGAGATTACTACAAGATACAACAAGTAGAAGACCCCTTTCAAAGTTTCAATACCTTGATTTTTGTTTGTTAGATGATCAGTGATATGGATCGTATAAATTCTTGGGAACTATCGACTGTAACTGTTGTAAGAGTATGTTGCTGCTGATGCACTTTTGTATTCCTTATCACTCGAATTTATGCTGGTTGCAGACTTACAGCTGCCTCTGATGCACTTTTGTCAGTTAAACATCTGGATACATATACGCATCAGATTCTTAGCCCTGGATTCATCCCTGGCTAACCGAACAATCAAATAGGAGCAAGGGGATTGGTTCTGCTAGGGAATTAAACCTGCCCAGGGAATGAGTGACAGCAAGGGGATCAACTAATTCCAGGCCTGGATTGATTCTCTCCTGGATTGGTTCCCCAGCTGCCGAACGAGGCCTTAGGATGACAAAACTAACAAACATGTAGGCTCTTTGATTCGTTAATGTCAACCTGCTGATCGAGCGATAGACCATCGTACCCTGTTCCAATGCCAGAGGCAGAGTACCGCACCATTGCCCACGTCTGATAGTGTGACCGTTATCTATTGTGACAGAGGTAGCATTTTCTATATGACAACAAACCCAGTACATCATTGTCGAATGAAGCACATCAAGATCGATATTCACTTCGTCTAAAAAAAAGATCGACATCCACTTTATCCATGAGAAGTTTGCTTTGGGTCAAATGTGGGTGCTACATGTCCCTTCGTCTCACCGGTTCGTGAATATTATGACCAAAGTCTTATTGTATAGTTGTTCACTTGTTCATTGAATTAAGGTCCAATCATTGCATCAGTGACTCTCCTGCTCTCATTGCAGACAGGTGATAGAGATATGTAAATATGTTGTACACTGCTCAGTCACTCAACCCCAAAGGGTGTGTGGTGTTTTCCAATCTCTCTTTAGTTATTACTAATTTTGGATAATACTTTGTAGCATATGGACAGGCTTCCTCCACCTTCCATGTGAAGGGCTGAGATTGAGCTATATTACCTCAGTGACTTGGCTAACTAGAATCTCCAAGAAGGGTTAGGTACTTAGTATATGTATGGATAGTCTTTTTATGATAAAATAAAGAAATGTCGTCTCTGTTTTTCTAGCAATTTCATTAGTAGCCGTATTGGAAGGTGCAGCTGGATCACCTCATTTTCATGGAGAGCTAATGCTTATGCTTATTGGCCTTTTCAAGGAGAGCTAATTCTTATGCTTATTGAGTATTTTGGTTTGACACTACTTCACGACCAAAAAGAAGGTAACTTCTCTGTTATTTTCCATTTTTTATGTTTTTGGAATGAAATACATCATTCAATTTGGTAGGTATAATAGTAAAGATTTTCATCCAAAACTTAAAGTTGCTTGTCAAACCATGAATTAGAATAGAAGAGCTTGCCTCACCCATGAGTAAGCATTTCATAGTAGCTTCACTAGAATGTAGAGAGGAATTCGAACCCTCGATACAAAAGAATTGTGCAACAGATTAATAATCCACCGCTTTAGTCCACTTAGCCATCTCTCCCCATTCTAAATCAAAAGGTTTTCATGATATGACAGAGGCAAGAAATAACGATTGCAAAAAAAATCCTTTTTCTTTCATTTCAAAAATGCATCAGCCCTTCTGTGTGAGTCTGATGGCTAAGAATGGGCCACTTTCTTGGGTGGGTAGTTGCCAATTTTTCATAAAATTGACTCTTCTGGACTTCACAAAAGTTCTAGGCGAACATTCATGAAACTCCAAATTTTAGCCCTTACATTGGACTTCATTACATCTGTCTTATTGCAACAACAAAAACAAGAAAAATAGAATTGTATGTCACATTGAATAGTACTACAAACCTAAGTGTTCAAATGATCTCAAAAATACATCTTGAGATGCATTTTCTTAGAGAAATTAACTCCTTTGTAGAGATGTATCTATAAAACAAGACTAATATATTACATGGATAGATAAATAATGTTGTCCTTTAGGAGTGAGAAATTAATGCTTGTTGCAAACAGAACATATGGAGCCATTCAAGAGAAGAAGGATACACAACATTATCTCATTAAGCCCCGAATAATTTCTTCAGGACTTGACAAGACAAACATGATCAAGTCTCATTGTAGAGAAAGACATCCAAAAAATTAACAAAGGAAAAATAACTTTTGGCCATTC